ACTCCAACCAGCCACCCAACAGCTCTCGAATCCCCCGCGCTGTCCAGCAGGCGTAACTTGCGCGGCGCGTCTTTCCTGGATCACCATCGCCAACCAAAAGGCATGCTGGGTGGCTGGTTGGAGCGAGCAACCCCTTCGGTGCGAGTGAATCTTTGGACCCTCCAGCGGATTCTTACTGTAGGGCAATGTCATTGCTGGGAACTGATTCGTTGGGAAAGCATATCAGATCATGGCAACGAATCATGTGGCTGTGTGTCAAAGCAGCTGACGACCCAGAACCGTTATATTAGTAGACGGGTTTGTGTATTTGGGGGCATGATATCGATGCTACAGAGTGATATGCTGCCAAAATGATGAGATGAGGAAGGGGCTCGGCACTCGGCCAAAGGGACGGAAGGAACGCATGTGAGAAAATCATGAAAACATCAATGCCCACCTGCTTCTTCAAAGTGACCAAACTTGATCTCTGGCAGATGGAGGTGCATGTGTTTTCGATGTGGATCATCGCTTGGAATCCTGGTGTGGAACAGTCAACCAGTCTTTAAATGGTTGAACGGAAGACTAGAGTTATACGTTTCCTTTGTGAAATTTTAGGAAGTTCCCCAAATCAGATCCCCTTGTGATAGACCATTCTTTTTCCTATACTATAAAAGGTCCAAAGAGGACACCGTGGACTGGACTGTGAGGGTTCTCTTGTTGGAGCCTTTGGAGACTCCCACCGGGGTCTGCCACCTTCTTAGGTTCAGTATCGTCCTGGAGCCTCCATGCATAGGTCAAGGTGTCTTCAAGATTCTCCAATCACGTTCGATAGGAGGGTTGCCAGTGGGTCCATACAGCCAAAAGAGGTTCAAGCACCCTTTTTGGACCAATCCTTTTTTGGGTCACTGAACCTTATAATTAGGGTTCAATGACCTTGTAGGTTAAGCTTCCACCAAACGGGCCATTTCTTCGAGCTGATTTCTGTTTCCTGCCCCTTCTGGAACCTGCGCAAAATCCCAGTTGAGAGGTTGAGAGACCTGAACTATAGGACCCTGTAGTGGTACATATGGGATGGGCCCTGAAAAAAGGGCTCAAAAACCACCTGGCCCTTCTTCGACCCCCTGGGCTCCCCGGCTCCCCAGGCGGGGCGAGTCGGAGATCGCGCGGACCGTGGCCATGGATCACCGGAACGACGCGTCTCGGACCGAGAACGACGAGATCGAGTCTATGGAGGTGAAACAAGGGGCCCTCCGGGTGGACCTGGGATTTGAGGAGGTGAGACATACGGCACCTCTGAACCGAATGAGGAAAGTACGGAAAAAGGCCCCGAAGAAAGGGGCCATGAGCGTTTGGGTTCGTCTTGTCGAGTTGATGTTCTGGGTAAGAATTTCAACTAGGCACCCCAAGATGGAACTTGTGGGTGACAGGCGACCTGGAGGAACCATGTCGACATGGTGCTGTTCCACTTCCGACCTCCTCATCGTACCTGTTTTGGTGGCTCACCTACCAGGTCACCAGGGTGAAACAACGGAGGGCTCCAGGTCCGGACCCTTCGTCGGTCGTCTTGACCGCTTTTCGGGAGTCTCCCTCCCAAGGGGGTACTTGAAGTCGAGTCCAGGTCTGCCTCCAACTCATGGGATTTTGCCTGGAGTCGCAGGGCCCGACGCCACCCCGCCAGCAACGCCCGATGGTTGGGGGCGTTGGGGCACATCGAGCAACCCCGAGAGGATTCGGACCCGAAAACAGATGTCACACCCTGAAACAGTTCTGGATGGAAGTCCCTCCAGCCACTTCCTATTATGTAAAGGATCTCAAGCCATCTAACCGAATCTAACCACCACCCAAAGGCTCTCTGGACCCTCAGTTCGCAGTTCGCTAGAGTTTTGACCCTCACAACTATAGGGTCTTGGACCTCAAACATGTAGCAGTTTGAGGGTCCAGGAGATTTGTTTTTGGTTGGGACTGAGTTTCGAGGCAGTCACAGGAATCACATGCCGTTTCGGGACCAACGGGATGTGTTTTCCACACCTCCGCGTCCGCGCGTCCAAGAGAGATGACATGCCCCATTGTGCCTCGTTTCGCCTCGTCCGATCTGCGCTGAGATCTTGGGGAACTCCTTGGTGCTGCTCGTTGTGGGTGGAAGCGTTTGGTGCCAAAACAGAAACAAAGGCGGCGAATGGCTGGAAAAGGCGGGAGGACGAGTTGGGTGACGAGGATGATGGCCCTTGGGCTCGGTGTTGAGACCAGCTTCCGATGGTGGGTTCCATCGTATTCCTCATGGGTTCTGCCAGGACCCGACTCTACAGGTCACCAATTGAGACCTGTTATAGGGTCCAACAACCCTCAACTAACAGCCTGTTGGAGGGTGCTAGTATTAGCTCTTCTCAAGGTTCCATCACGTTTCCTGATGGTTTTTGTTCGTTCTTGTCTGACCAGAATGTGCCCATTAAAAGTTCTAGTCTTGAATCTTGAACCACGATGTCCGGTTCCGGTTCCAAATTCTGGGTACCTGCTGTGGTTGACCATGCAGTGGGCTACCTGGCTACCCTTTAAGACAGCTCTCCAAGAAGCAACCAGAGATGTTTTTCCATGAACCCTCCTTCCAAGACCATGTTCAATATGTTTAGAATGGTGGACCTGGTTTTGTAGTGTAACATCCTCAATGACACAAGGTGGTTCGGACCTATTATATAAATCAGCAAAAGCCCCAAAAACGTCTTCCCGCTGCCTTCTAGAAACCGTTAAAACTTCTCACCGCCAACCGACTTCAGCAACCAACGTCTCCTTCTAGCTCCTATAGCCTTGCGCACCGCCAACACACTCCCCGGAATCATCATGGCTTTCGTGGAGTTCTTCACCTTGGGTCTTTCAATTTCATGGTCATCGATGTCTTTGTCTCCGACATCGTACGGGTGCGGTTTTTCTGCGGTTCAGTTGATTGACGTCCAAAGATGGATGCCAGAAACTCGAAAGAACATCGTCTTCGATCTTTTTTGCCAGATTGATGCTCCAAAACCCACCCGATGGGCTCTTGGCCCGCCCCCTCTGACACTGGATCCTCGAAATGAATCCCTCTGGTCCGGGAATCCCTCTGGTCTGACATCCCGTCCAACAGGTAGATCCCGCGTCGTCCTTGCTCTTGGCCCTCTACGTCCTCACCTGTTGGCTCCAAACCGCCGCCGAGCAGCTTCGAGTCCTCAGTGACCGTCGTGCCTTTCCGAGCGGTTGGGGGGGCGGTGGCGGCTTGGACCGCGTGGGGGGCTGAGCGGCGGTTTTGGGGCTTATGGGAGAACACTTGGGGGTTAGGTGAGTTAGCTGTTTTGTTTTTTACTTTCCCTAAGATTTTGTTCATGTCCAGTTACATACTGTTTTGTGTTTTTACTTTCCCTAAGAATCTGGGCCCTCAAACAATTGGGGTTTGAGGGCCTGGACCCCTGCGAAGAGGGGAGAAGGTCCGACGCCTGCCATGCAAAGCCCGTACCGATTCTTAGGGTCATGGCTTAACATGTGCTTAGCATTTGGCCGAGTTGCTTGGATTCGTCGATTCGTCCGTTTGTATAAGGACCTGAGCCCGCACAGCCCGGTGCTTTTTGGACACCTCTTGGATCACCCCAAACAGAGGGTCCGTTGGTAGCGATCCTTGTTTTCCTATACTGTAGGTCCAGTTGTTGAGCATACCTTAAGTGGACATAGCAAGAAGATTCAAGAATCGCTTTCATGTTGGTCATGCTTTTGATGTGTTTGTGAATTGTTTAGAGTCTAGAGCAGCAAATGTCGTTCAAGTTCAAATTTGGGAGTGCCCTCAGTACCATTTTACACCCGAGCAGCTGGAAACAACCTTTGGCCATGTTGGTTTGATCATGTTGATTGATCCCTTTGTTTCACACAATGCATCACAATGCCATCCTGGGCTTCAAACCGCTTCAAGGCATCTGCCCTGCTTTGGAATGACCCATCATGCGTTGGTGACCCTCACGTTTACTCAGATGAATGAGAACGTTCAGAAGCATGCCCCAAAGGATCCAGGTGGTTCCCAGGACAGGGCCCAGAGGATCCAGGCGGTTCCAGGAGAGACCAAAACCACAGACGAAGTCCGAAGTCCAGGTTCCTTCTTTAGTCCCAACAGCCCAACGAAGTCCAAAGCATGACCTACACCGGCAGTTTCAAGGACCTCATTACCTAGACCGGCAGGTCAAGGACCTCATTTTACAGGGTACGTTCCTACAAAAACGTGTCCGGACCCGTAGGGTGACCCCTCTTCAAGCGCGTCTGGCCTGATCGGTATAGTCCTGCCAGTCGACGGGTCGTGTCTGGGGTAGTTGTCAAATGTAAGTCGCAGACCTTTGGATCTAAAGCAGACCACTACGTGCACGTAATTAGTAGTAGTAGTAGTAGTAGTAGTAGTAGTAGTAGTAG